AATGTGAGAGCTGCTTTTGAAGTAATGCTCACAAGTTCACAGGCGTGAAAGCAGGTCAGCGACATGAACATGAAATGAAAATCAGCACCACAAAAAAACTCGCCTGACATCAGGAAAACACCAGACACTTTCTGTTCACACGCAGAAGCAGCACTGCTAAAAAATAAAACGTATTTGAACACTTTTGGACCACAAAGTCACAATTGTATTTCACTGAAATATTTCATTACATTAGATAGATAGCAAATTAGCATCTACACAAGCTATTCTCAAAATTAATTGAACTTTTCTGAACCACTTGTGCAATGACTTTTAATCAACTGATATTAATAGTGAATATTTTAAGTCAGTTAATCTGTGTACTTTGAAACCTAACAAACGTATGTTGTGGAAATATTTCACTTAGAATGTGTTTGTCCTATTCTTTTAGTTCAAATAAATGACACTTACTGATATTTCATCTTGATATATTGTATTTAATATTTATGGCTTGAATATTTTATATCTAATGCAAGACATTTGGAGATTTTTAAGTGACTTACATGTCCTTGGGGGAGCCCTGTACATTTGTTGGAGTTTTGTTTTGACATCTCATACATAACTTGCTGGGAACTGTGACGTAGGTTGGATGTGGTTTCAATATTAAACCTAAAGGCAAGCCTAAACCACTGTTTAAAAGTCGAACTGCACATCAAACTGAAACAGAAAATGTAAAACTGGCATTTTTTCTTTGTATGTGTTTGCATTGCATAACCTGTGTATATATCACAAAGAATGCAAGGGTGAGTGTATCTCAGTCTTTAAAGGGGGAGGGGGGTACCATGCTGTTTCATGCATTCAGAGTTGTTTACACTGTTAAAGAGTCGGATTCTCATGCTAAGCATGGACAAAATTTCAAAAAAACAATTTGGACGTATGACGGAGTATTTCTGTGCTAGAAATCTTACTTCCGGGTTTGGGTTACACTGTTGACCCATCCCTTACACCTTAGCCCGCACTTAAACCTCACCATACCACCAAAACTGTCCCTAACCTTACCCGTATCTCACCTCAATAGCAGCAAAAGTGTTTTGCAATACAATATGAACACATTAAGTACATTGTACTTATTTTTTGATGTAAGTACATAGTAGTTAAGGCCACCTAATATAAAGTGGGACCAACGTTTTATAAGCAATGCCCAGTTCTATGGTGGATTAGCACATCGTTTGATACTGAAGGATTGTCCAGCTATAAAAGATCCCGGTCATGATTCAGAACTGCAGACGGTAAGTGAAACTGCATCAAATGTCTGTGTTTTGTTGGCAGTCGGAGCTCAAGTGCTCGTCAATCTTTAGCTCCGCCCACGGCACGCCTCCAGGAGCTTGGCTTTTTCTGGAGAGAATCGTAAAGCTGTATCTTTCTTTTATAAATATGATAAAACTAAAGACTTTTTGGAGATATGAAGGATGCAGTACTACTCTATAGGTACTCAAGATTAACATGAGATTGGGTGAAACTGTGTGTGTTATCTCCCCTTTAATAAAAAATAACATTTGCAAACATTATGCATTGCATACAGTAAAAGCAGACTTAAACGTAAATGTAAATATTAGTGAAAAAAGTGGTCATTGTCCTTGTGCAAATTCAGCAAGAGCTGAGGCAAGTGTGCAAAGCACATTTCTACTTTCCACTGAGAGATACGTAACACAAGGACTGAGGTTAAATATGCACATAATAATAAAAATAACAATAAAATTCTCTGTCAAACTGTCAAAAAGCAAAATGAACCATGAAATATCACAGTACACTGATCATTAAATATGTGTTGACATATGGGAACCCTGTGATTTCACCACCATTGGCTGATGGACTATATATTGTCTTTTGGTTTTATGCAGGCTGTGATCCTACATGTGCTGGTTACCAGAACTTGTATTCCATTACTGCAAGATCTTGTGTAACCTTGCAGAAGTACCATCCACTCTCATTGGTTTTGATAAAAGTAATGTTGAGTGTTGACCAATCTTCATTTTTCTCTTTTAAAAAACGCTGTTCTTCAGGTGTCTTGTAAGCTGATCTACAGTCTAAAATAGGTGTCTGGCTATAGTGCCAGCTCAGTTTGGTACTTTGTTTTGCAATACAATATGAACACATTAAGTACATTGTACTTATTTTTTGATGTAAGTACATAGTAGTTAAGGCCACCTAATATAAAGTGGGACCAACGTTTTATAAGCAATGCCCAGTTCTATGGTGGATTAGCACATCGTTTGATACTGAAGGATTGTCCAGCTATAAAAGATCCCGGTCATGATTCAGAACTGCAGACGGTAAGTGAAACTGCATCAAATGTCTGTATTTTGTTGGCAGTCGGAGCTCAAGTGCTCGTCAATCTTTAGCTCCGCCCACGGCACGCCTCCAGGAGCTTGGCTTTTTCCGGAGAGAATCGTAAAACTGTATCTTTCTATGAGATTGGGTGAAACTGTGTGTGTTATCTCCCCTTTAATAAAAAATAACATTTGCAAACATTATGCATTGCATACAGTAAAAGCAGACTTAAACGTAAATGTAAATATTAGTGAAAAAAGTGGTCATTGTCCTTGTGCAAATTCAGCAAGAGCTGAGGCAAGTGTGCAAAGCACATTTCTACTTTCCACTGAGAGATACGTAACACAAGGACTGAGGTTAAATATGCACATAATAATAAAAATAACAATAAAATTCTCTGTCAAACTGTCAAAAAGCAAAATGAACCATGAAATATCACAGTACACTGATCATTAAATATGTGTTGACATATGGGAACCCTGTGATTTCACCACCATTGGCTGATGGACTATATATTGTCTTTTGGTTTTATGCAGGCTGTGATCCTACATGTGCTGGTTACCAGAACTTGTATTCCATTACTGCAAGATCTTGTGTAACCTTGCAGAAGTACCATCCACTCTCATTGGTTTTGATAAAAGTAATGTTGAGTGTTGACCAATCTTCATTTTTCTCTTTTAAAAAACGCTGTTCTTCAGGTGTCTTGTAAGCTGATCTACAGTCTAAAATAGGTGTCTGGCTATAGTGCCAGCTCAGTTTGGTACTTTCCACTCGGCTGAAAAGTGCAGTTGATTGTGACTGAGGCTCCTTCACAAACTTCAGCATACTTTGGTTCCAAATTGACGTTCAGTTGTTTTTCTTGAAGAGTGTTACTGATCAAAGCTTCTGTTGTTGTCATGAAAAGAATAGATATATTATGATCTGCTGCTAAATACAAACAGTAAGTATATGATTGGAATATTGATGATCTTGAGCTTCGTGTGAACAATAACATGATGGTTTCACGTTTTTAACGTTAGTTGATACTAGTTGGATAATAAGTTTAACAAAATATCTGTGTGTGTAAATACGCTTTTAAAATAGCACGAATCTCACCTCTGACGAGAAGAAGAAAGATTGTATTGCAGAATCGATCCATGTCTATGTTGGTAGATGTATTCAGAATAATAAATCGCCCCTGAGACTAAATAAAACAACAGTCAAACAAGAAGACAACAATGAAGTTACTGTAAATGATTCATTCAACTTTATCAAACTGCACCAAACAAAAACAGCACCTGGAGTCTTCAGATGAGAACACCTGAAGCGTTCTCGTTCATTCGTGATGTTAAAGCTTTTGAAGTCTAGATGGGTTCCTGTGTGGTTAAGCATATATATGTAAGTGTTATATTAATAGTTTCTGATGCCTTCTTCCTGTAGAAGAGGTCTACTAGAAATCTTATTTTCAAACTAAGAGTGCGCGTCCATTTATAACTTGAATGTGCGAGACTTCCAGTTTCATCCGCTTTCAGTTATTTTACCTGTACAAAACGGTATGCTAATTGATATCTCAAACTGGTATTTGTTAATATGTTATTTTAATTTATTATCATAATTGTGAATGCATTGGTTTGTAATGCAAATAGTTTGCCATTTACTGCACTTGTTATTCTTCTGGTTATTTACCTAACAGAATCTGAAGTCTCATATTTACAGAAAATAGCTTACCTCCGCATCGTGAAGTAAGGTGGATAAACTGACTGCATTATAAAATAAACTGCAGTAAACTAATAAACTGCATTATAGAAGCATAAAAGATTGGTAACTGGTAAAATAATGGATAAAAAAAAAAAAAAAAAAAAACGCTATATAAATAAAGGTGACTTGACTAGTGTTTTCAACGTTAGTTGATACTAGTAAACACAATGCAATGCATACGGGTAACGCCTGTGAATTTTAGTTTAAAGAGCAAAATTTACAAAAATAATTTGAGTTTTTTTTAACATCTAAATGCGTAAACCGGAATATAAAACCACTGCTAGAAAAACATGTGTAATCAGACTTTTGTTGACATTTTTGTTACTAAGATAAAGCTAGCCTCGAAATATTTCACTTTCTACATGATACATTATTATGTTCTTATCAAACATTGTTTTTAAAATAGCATAAATCTCACTTACCTGTAACTAAAAGAAGAAAGATTGTACTGCACAGCTGATCCATGTCCAAGTTGGGCACAGTTCAGAATAATATTGTAAATCACCCTGAGCCTAAATAAAACAACAGTCAAGCAAAAATGAAGTTACTGTAAATGATTAATTCAACTTTATCAAACAACTTTATCTTTCTTCTCCAAACAAAAACAGCACCTGGAGTCTTCAGATGAGAACACCTGAAGCGTTCTCGTTCACTCGTGATGGTTAAAGCTTTTGAAGTCTAGATGGGTTCCTGTGTGGTCATGCATATATACGTAAGTGTTATATTATGAGTTTCTGATGCCTTCTTCCTGTAGAAGAGTCTATTAGAAACTGTTCAAACTATGCTGTGCACCTTTTGCGCACAGCATTTGTAACTTGAATGTGCTAAGTATCTGGATTTATCTACTTCCAGTTATTCTAGCTGTACAGCAGTCTGTTATGCTGATTGATATCACAAACTTAATGTATACAAAAGTTCGGAGCAAGTAAAGGACACAAATAAGTATAATAAAGTCTTTAATTTAAAATACATATTGCAAACATCATTGTGCATTACATACAGTAAAAGCAGACTTAAATACTCGTGTAATTAAATATCAGTGAGAAAAAGTGGCCGTCGTCCTTGTTCAAATTCGACAAGAGCTGAGGCATGTGTGCAAAGCACATTTCAACTACCCACAGAGAGATATGTAACACGAGTCAATGAATTTGAAAGGAAAGGACAATTAATATGCCACATTTAAGTTCAAATTCCTTGAAACAGGAACAAATAGCATCTTTTATTAAAAAGGTTCCTAATATCAAATGCTGACGCTTGCTATTATAGCCGTCTACGATCAAACTACAGCATAGCTTGAGTCAGTTCATTTGTAAACATTATAAATTAACTCATCTGAAAGCACTGTGGTGTCACAATGTGAAGGAAGCCACAGTCCACCATTAAAACAACTGACAGCTACTGTATGTTAATATCACAGAAGAATATACAGTAAGTATATAACTGTGCAAATCCTCATTTTTCATAGTCTGTTTCGTTAGGTAACTTGGATTATGTCTAGTTAAATCAACTTGAATATAAAATACATCTAAAAAGCTATGTATATATATATATATATGCTGCTGTACAGCGTCAATTCACTCTTTGGTGGTATGAATGGCATTTCATTCAATAAAACCAAAGTCAAACCATACTTTCCTTGATAGAAATTTAAATTATGTTCACTGTTTCTTTTAAAGTCAACATAAAAAGGTATTGAGAACCCATTTTACTTCCGTAATTTGATGTAAACAGGATATTTCAACAGAAAAGGGATCATGAAAACTCTGTTTTATACCAGAATAGAAATACCATGGAATAATTTTGAGTCGATTTTGATTTCATGTTGACTTTAAAGGTATGAAACCGAATAATTGTGAACTGAGATTTTATATGCACACATAATAATAACAATAATAATAGTAATAATAATAAAATTCTCACAAACAGTCAGAAACAAAATATGACACTGTAAAAAAATAAAATCATTCTGAACATTCAATAAATAAGTAATGACCCTGTGCTTTCTCTCCCATTGGTTGATGGACTATAACTCGTCTTTTGGGTTTATATGCTGGCCGTGGTCCCACATGTGCTGACTATCAAGGGCCTGAATCACCTCATCAGCTTGAAGCCTCTCCTGCAATTAGATTTAAAACATTATATTTCATCATATTTTATCACATCACCAGCAATTTGCATGGCACCTAGTACAGCTGTCAAAATGGCTGTAAAGCTAAATTCGAATTTTGTACTTGCATATTATCAATATTCAAATTATATTAAAATTTAAAAGGCATAATTTCAGTTTGGGGGGGGGGCGGACTTCTCTCAGGAGACTTCTCTCCTGAGGCCACAAGAGGGCGCATCGAGCAAAATATTACTAAAGCACGTTTCTTAAAAGCAATAAAATAACGTGACTATCTTTGAAAAAAGTGCATAATGTTTAAAATAATGTTTATAAACATATATCATTACTTTACTTGCTTAAGCAAGTCCACTGAAGTACTGCTTCAGTCCAAAAGGACTTAAACAAAAATCGCCCATCCATAAAAAAAAGTGTCTCACACTTTTTTTTATGGATAGGTGATTTTTATTTAAGTTATTTTGGACTGAAGCAATGCAACTCCTGCTGAGTGGCATTAAACAGCTTGAAAAGATCAAAGACAATGTTTAATATAACTCCGACTGGATTCATCTGAAAGAAGAAAGTCATATACACCTAGGATGCCTCGGGGGTGAGTAAAACGCAGCCTAATTTTCATTTTTGGGTGAACTAACCCTTTAAGTCTTGAGACATGTTTTTTAAAAGTTAAACTTACTCTTGTGCGAGACGCGAATGCAACGGTGATAGATGTCCCTATAGAAAATGCGATAAATATGCGATCTGTGTGAACGGCTTGGTTTCAGTTTTGACGTAAACAACATCTTTTCCGCACTGATGTTCTCTTTTTCCGCAGTATTTTGAATGAACAACATAGCAGCGCCGCATCCAATTGGTTCAACTGGATAGGCTAAAAAAAAAAAACATTAAAATGCAACGACACTTACATCGTCATTGCATCTTGTGTGCCACTGATAAGGCTGACGCACACCTAAAATTCAAATCCAACGTTTTTGCATTCAGATGTGGATTTTTATTGTAAATTCGACGAATATTCGAAATTCGAAAAAAAATTTTTGACAGCCCTAGCACCTAATTTTTTCTTCAGCAGTTTATTTCTGCTACAAAAGAAGTGATATCGCCAACTACAGGGCACTGAAAGAACTAAATTTTTATATAAAAAATTAAAAAAATGAAACTGAAACACTGGCCAATATAGTCTTGGAGGTTGGATATTTCGCGCCTATATGTATGGCCTGGTGGTCGATCTTCACTGTTTTCACATTCCATCAGTGAAACCAGAGTGCGAAGGTTCCATTGTGAAGGTTCCATTAGCATAGCACAGCTGTGCATCATTTATTCAACCCACACAACATAATGGGAGACATATCAGATTCAAAAGAGGACAAATAGTTGGTGTGTGTCTTGCTGGCGCATCTGTAACCAGGACAGCATGTTTTTGTGGTGTATCGAGAGCCACAGTTTCCAGGGTAATGTTGGCATACTACCACAAAGGATAAACCACATCCTAAAGGAGTAACTGTCGATGAAAGAGGAAGCAGTCTGAAAGGGATGTGACCTAGATTGTATCCAAAAAAACAAAATCACAGCTCCCCAACACACTGCAGAATGAAATGTGCACCTCGACTCGTCAGGTGCTCCACAGAGTCAACATTCAAGGTTGGGCTGCTGTAGCCAAACATTTGGTCGCTTGTGCCAATGGCAAAAGTCAGTTTCAGTGGTCCCAGTGCAAATCTTGGGCTATGGATAATGTGAAACCTATTGTTCTCTGATGAGCCCACTTTCACTGTCTTTCTCACATCTGTGGGAGTTACGATGTGGAGAAGCCCCAAAGAGGCTAACCACCTGGACTGTTGCATGGTTGGTTTTGGCTGCAATATTGTTGCACAACCTAGGCCCACTACTGGTGCTAGACAGGCAACACTACCATACCATTCTGGGGTGTACTAGGGGTGTAACGGTACACAAACATGACGGTTCAGTACGTACCTCGGTTTTGACGTCACGGTTCGGTATGGTTTTAGTACAGCAGGGGAAAAAAACGAAACAAAATTGCCCCTTTTTTATACATTAAACAGTGGTTTACTGAACAAATTGCTCTTTCTTTAAGTAAATTCAATGATAATTAAAATTTTTAAAATAAAAATCTGCCTCAGCCTCTGCTCTAAACTAGGGAGTCCTTTTACATTACTATATAAGATTACAATTAAAGGGTTAGTTCACTATGGCGCTAGGGTGACGTGGAGGAGACGAATTGTTGAATAAAGTTGTTGTTTTTATTTTCTTTGTGCACAAAAAGTATTCTCGTAGCTTCGTAAAATTGCGGTTGAACCCCTGATGTCACATGGATTATTTTAACGATGTCCTTGCTACGTTTCTGGACCTTGATCGTGTTAGGATCATTGCTGTCTATGGGAGGGTCAGAGAGCTCTCGGATTTCATCCAAAATATCTTCATTTGTGTTCCGAAGATGAACGAAGGTCTTACGGGTTTGGAACGACATGAGGGTGAGTAATTAATGACAGAATTTTCATTTTTGGGTGAACTATCCCTTTAACAACAGAGCCCAAACTTAAATTTATTTACTATTTATTTTTAAATATAATAATCAACACTCAACTTAAATTATATGCAAACGTGTAAATTGCACATAAAGCAGTTTTTAAATTAACTTCTAAATTATAAAATTTGTTGTTGAAATATAATCATTTAAACAGTGGCTGTCATAACTTGTTTCATAACTGATTTATTTATTAAATGTACATTAGGCCTAAATAATTAAGACATCACTAACAGGTAAAGTAAAATATAATGTGTAAATAGTCTAATATTTTGCGAAATGCTCTTCCCTAGACTTAATTTCTCTAGCGAACTCATGAGCTGAGGACACTGATGACATGCCTGAGGTAAATGAAATGCTATGTGACATTCTGTTTACAAGTTGTTTTATTGACATCTTTCCATGGTTGAAACAGTAATTGAGCAATTACATATGAGGCATGAGACGTTCATTCATGTTTATTTCACGTTAAAACTAGTAGCAAAGACCGCGCTGCCATTTGAACTGAAGCGTTTATACAGCGATCTGTCGTGCTACATCAAATAGCGTCAAAACGCCATTTATTGTTTGAATTTCCTGAAAAAAATTCATTTGTTCAGTACATATGCATGCTGAACCGAAAGAACCGTTTTTGGTACGAATACATGTACCGTTACTCCCCTAATGTGCACCCAGTTCAAACATTGCACCCTGGAGGTGGTGGCCTGCATCATGAAGATAATGCACCAATACGCACAGCAAGACTGGTGACAGTGGTTTGATGAACATGAGTGACTCTGAACATCTCCCATGGCCTGCACAGTCATCAGATATTAATTTTATTGGGCCACTGTGGGGTGTTATAGAGGAGTGAGTCAGAAAGTGTTTTCCTCCACCAGCACCTGGCCAATGTTCTGCAAGAGAAATGACTCTTGCCAGGTGTTTCAATTTCATCATCTTATTACAAATATACTAATAGTAGGCTTTTTGTCATAATTCAATCTGAAAAAAGGTTAAAAGTTTTAAAATGAAACATTTTAAATTATTACTATAAAAACCTTTATTTCGGGAGCAAACCAAATCCATGTCTTCAAAATTCGAGGGGGTATGTGTCATAAAAAAACAAAAACAAACAAAAAAACATCTGTGTGAATGCTTGGTTCTTTAGAAGTGCATAACATCTTACTTCCTCCTTATAACCTGACCACAACTGGGAACCACTGATGTTCAGGCATTTTTTGTTTTTGTTTTTTTTGTTAGGTTTTAGATATCAGAAGTCCGAGTACTGTATTTTACAAGCCATCTTTTCAGTTTGTATAAATGGTCTTTTTTGACTAAGAAGGAGGTTTTGTGCTCTTATAGATGTTTTAATAATACAATGCCCTGTTTATTTAAAAAAAAAAATATATATATATATATATATATGATATGACCCCTATAACAGTGTACAAGTCATACCAGGTACAGCACATTTCATATTCATTCATTTAAAGTGGTCAGGGTTCACTGAGATGTGTGTAGAAATACTCCAGGTCAAAGGCCTTAGAAACATGTGCGCTTAGTGTATATAAACAAGATGGGCATCATTTTAGTGTGTTGTGAGAACAGAAAGTGGTTTGGCGGTTTGACAACACTTCACTGGTGGGTATAACACTTCTGTACAGGTGGCCATATGTGGCTCAGGACTTGTGCTTAATGTACAATGGAAAATTCCGCTTCCTCTTAAATGACATTTTCCAACTAGACAGAATTTTACTGACATAAATACAAACATGCCACCATGTTAATATGTCACTGGCGTTACTAAAACCTAAACAAAGACTGAATGTGCTCTCTATGACAGACAAACACGATTCCTCACCAGCTCCCTGTAGAGGGGGTCTAAAGTGAACCAGAGCGCCACAGCACACCGCTGCCCCCTAGTGACCGCTCGCACACCGTGAGGATTCTCACCGCCAGACGAGAACCCCACCATCCGCCCGCATCTGGGCTTCACTGAGGCCTGCGACAGGAAAACAGAGCGCTTAAATGCCAAACTCTACCTGAGATGACAGATGAGCAAAACGCACAGTAATTTTTCCTTACGGTGACAGTCTTGGCGTCCATTTCCAACTTTGATGAAAGGTTTTGATCCACTTCAAATGTTGACTACTAGAGCAAGTATATACATATACCTCATGATGCAGCATTATGTGTAGTATATTCTGATTTAAGTAATCCAAATGTGGTTTAATCTGAGGTAGAAACTGAGAGCTGAGGTGACGTACCAGATATGGCGGTCCTACACACTAAATGTGTGTATGAGAAATGCAGAGTAGAGTTTAGCATGAAGTATGACTCAATTATCCGCCTGGCCTTCTCACTGACATCATAAAAGAGGCGGGCACTTTTTAAAGGAACTCGTCCCTCGTAGCCATACTGCAACGATAAATAATGAATAATTAATTTTTATTTTTTTAAGATTTATTTTTGCCGTTTTTGCTTTTATTGTGATAGGACAATGTAGAGGAGACAGGAATTCTCCGCAAAATCCCCGTTCAGATACAGCAGGGCACTGAATGACCGAAAAAAGGAGAGAAGAAATATAATTAATATTAATTGCTTTGTGTAAAACTTTTTTAGTGACTAACAATGATACCTAACCAGACTCACATTTAGTTTAAATTATAGTTATTTTGAGTACTGAAGATGGTTTTAAAGTGGTTTTAACACTTTACTTCTTACCTGTAGTCTCGGTAGGTGTAAGCGGGCGGCTCTTTCCAGCACTCATTCGCTTCTGGGTCCAGAAGACAGTTATCAGCATGTATTGGGTGACTGAGGTCGTTTCTGTGGTCCTGCTGACCTGATAAAATATATAAATAAAACATTATTAAAAAAGAAAAGAAAAACATATATGATGTAATATTATAAATATATTGATTAATTAAACATTAATATTTAATAGTTAACTTCATATTTATGTATCAACGTACCAGATATGGCGGTCCTACACACTAAATGTGTGTATGAGAAATGCAGAGTAGAGTTTAGCATGAAGTATGACTCAATTATCCGCCTGGCCTTCTCACTGACATCATAAAAGAGGCGGGCACTTTTTAAAGGAACTCGTCCCTCGTAGCCATACTGCAACGATAAATAATGAATAATTAATTTTTATTTTTTTAAGATTTATTTTTGCCGTTTTTGCTTTTATTGTGATAGGACAATGTAGAGGAGACAGGAAGCAAAGTGGGAGAGAGAGGGGGCGGGATAGGAAAAGGTCCTCAAGCCGGGATTCAAACTTGGGACGCCCCCGGAGTGCAACGACGTTTTACGTCGGCGCACTGCCCACAAGGCTATCAGCATCAACAAATAATTAATCATTAATGTTATAATATTCATTACTGTTTAATTATTCACGACTTTGTCCAATCAAAAAGTACATAAATCTTAAACAAAAATAATAATAATAATAAATGGAAATTGTAATTATAAGTACATTTAAATTCCAAATAACAAGTCCGATAAGAAATATTAAATACAACTGGACCATTTTACCCAATGTTCGCATGTGCTACACATTTTTCATTCTGTTAGCTTAGCAAAATGCTAACACTTTATTTTAATATTGGATTTATGTGTCGCATTATTTGTATTTTGTGTCACTCAGTGTTAAAAACTTAGGTCTTACCTTCAGCGTTTTCAATACTGTCGCCCCTTCGAATTTCTCATTTGGTGTGTGAGGAGACATTTTCCCCTTGTAGCCGTCACCAGCCGCAGTGACAGTCTAAGGAAATATTGATATAACAACCCGATCAGTCAAAGTACTTAACTGTAAAGTTATAGCACATCTAGCAGAAAATGAAATAACATTCTACATAACATGAACTGATTAGTTTTATACTCTGAGAATGACATAACAGAAGTTACTCACGTGTGCCAGATGTTTGAGTTCAGAGCACTCGTCCTCACTGATGACATCATCAAAAAGCACCCTCTGACTTCCATTCAGGGTGTCAGAGTTTTGTACAAGTCGTACATTCTCATACAGCAATGGACCTCCTATACACACATACACACGTACACAACCACAAAATTACATTTAATAACCAATACAAATGGTAAAACATTGAAGTATTAATGGAAATATAACTAATGTGCTGAACCAGTATATTGTTTCTACAGCATTCAGTATAACAGTTCCGCCATTTTTTGTAGCATCTCTATGATGTGGCATGGTATGGAAAAGAGCTTCATAAAACAAATAATGACAGGATTTTCATATTTGGGTGGATTACAAATGTAACTTTTCACCTATTTTGGTCCCTCTTGCGTTTTGTTCAAGTTATGTGTATGGTTTTGTATCTTGTCTATTACAATATTTTAAGGTTATTTAAAAGTCAGAAACAGTATATCACCTTCTCGCAGCTCATGTAACACAGACATTGTGACATTTCTCTTTGCTGATTTTGGCACATAGTCCATCCAGCCATCGGTACCAGAAGGAATCCTAAAGAGGCACATTCAACACATAAGCTCTGAACATTATTATTATGCTTTATTATATTAATGAAAACGCCTACCTGTTAGCATCTTCTCTACCGCCCGAACTGCTCCAGTAGTGCTGAGGAGAAACAACAATTAGAAGCGTACATTAAAAACTCTATAGTTATGAAGAGATATGCCTTTATGATATTTGGCCTTGTTTGATGATCCCAACCACAAGGGGGCGATGTAGGCTGGTTGTGAAATCTCAAATCTTACAGGAGCACCTGTTCCGTGTCACAGCTGTTACAAGACTGAAACATTTCCTTGTACATTTACAAAGCAAACCCTAAATTAATATAAACATAGATACAGTATATCATCTAAAGCAATTGCAAGAAGTTTAAAAACAAGAAAACAAACCACTTTTAAACATATAAAATGTCAAAGATCGTACATTTAAAGGTAGATTATTCCAATCTGCAGGAGCCTTATACCTAAATGCTTTTTTCCCGAAAACCTTCTTAACTAAAGGAGTACGAAAAAAATGTGTTGAATGTTTTAATTTATATGAAGAAGAATATAATATCAAATACTGATTCAAATACTTAGGATAATTAAAATGTATTATTGCAAACCAGTGTTTATGCCTTCTAATATTGAGTGGAGACCATTTAAGTAAATTATATATAATACAATGGTGTGTATCAAATGAACATCCAATGACAAATCTACACAATTTATTATAGGCTGTAGTAAGAGGCAAAAGATTAGTTTTTGTTGTATTCTGATAAACTACATCAGCATAGTCCAAAAACTGTAATACAAGTTGCAAAGCAAGTTTTTTTTTTTTTTTTTTTCAAAAGTTACAAGTAAAACAATTTTAAGACTAATACAATACACTGGTTCCAAAATTAATATTACTAAGTATATATTCAATATGAGGTTTAAAAGAAAGTTCAGGATCCAGTCATAAGCCCAGGTATTTAATTTGATGCAAATATGTGCCATCATTACACATTATTGTTAGATTATTAGATTTTAGTTTAAACGTTTGCTTTGTACCAAAAACCATGGTATGAAATTTATCTTTATTAAGTTGTAAATTATTAGAAAGCAGCCACTCTTGCAAAGCATTAAAATCTGATTGGAGTATATTTTGAATTTGAGTTAAGTGGGGATTTAAAATACAAATGACAGTATTGTCAGCATAAAGATGAACAGAAGAGTGTGAAAGAACTAAGGGAAGATCATTGAAAAAAATGGAAAAGGAGGGGAAAAGAAGAGGACCCAATATTGAACCCTGTGGTACACCTCTTTCTTGAATAAATAAATCAGATTGTTTCCCTTGGATAACCACACATTGTTTTGTTATGTAAATAAGAATTAAACAACAATAAAGAATTGAGAAAAAACAACTGCATACATCTTGTCTAATAATAGGTAATGATCAAGTAGATCAAAGGCCTTCTTAAAAAGGCATAGAAAGAAAGAAATGACAGACTTGAGATTTTCTGAACTTACCCCTTCAATATAGGGCACTCCAAGATTACTGCTGCCGATGAGGAGCAGGTCTAACTCCTGTTTGTGCCGCCTTAGATACTGTTCAGCTTCCTGAGGCATAAAAGAAACATAGTGAGACTGATTATATTTCCTACATGCCATAGGTTATAGATTATGGCCTCCTAAAACATCTTGTCTATGACCCGACAAAATAAAAAGTGACCTTAGGGATGGATGACGTAGTCTCAGTCTAAAATCAAGCCCGTTCCACAACCTGTGCGATTTCTCTTGGCTTATTCCAGGACTTTTTATTAGTGGTCTCTGGCACTCATTTAAAGCAAATTATTATAAATGGAGCAAAGTCTGCTGCTTCTAAGAGTGGTTGAGACCACATGAAATGGCAGCCTTGGTGCCCTTTTGGGGGAAGAGTTACATTGGTAGCATGTGCGACTTCATGTTCTTCGAATGCAAACAGATCGCAAATTGTTTCAGGGAGCTTTGCGGTGTTTCAGTGAAACTTTTTTACTCAGCTCCCTGTTCGAGAAGACTATGCTGTCAGCACAGTATCTCAACGGTGGGTTAACAAGGTCCCAGAGGAACTAGAAATCGGGCAATCAGATGTGGCAGAAAGCCAGATAGATGGAAACACTCTGCAATGGTGTGGAAAAGAATGTACTTGGTTGTTATGAGCTAAGAACTGAAGGATCTTGCAGTGAAAGACGTATTCAAGCCCTCTGGCTCTTGACTTACCAAAATCATGTGGCTTTTACAGTGCTAAAAGCTTCCAGGCTTTCCAGCGAAAGACTCTTTGGGATGGTTCAAGAGTGCGTGCAGTCACTACTGTACATCTCGAAATCCAAACCCACTAAACACATGATTATTCCAGTGTGTTTATGCACTGGAATCCTGCCAAATTCTGCACTTGGGGAACAAGTCTACTGTAGGGATTTCATATTGGATCTGGACTGGAAAGATCTGGATCTGTCAAAACGTTGCAAGTGGTGACCCAGGAACTATCAACATTATGAACTTGAACTTGCTCAATGGGGACTGTTGCTAGTGTATGGTGAGTTACTTTAAAGACAAGCATCAAGTAAAGGGAAAATTTGTAAATTGGGTCTATCTCAGCAGACCTTGAGATTGAGAACAATTCATTGAAACCTTGAGAACAATAAATGTCTCTATAAACAGTTTGTCAATGGCTTGTAAGTATCAAGCAAATTTTCTCTATCATGACTGTCAAATTGCATCTGGTTCAATGAAATAAGAATGTCCGAGATAAAGAAAAGATTATTTATAAAAATGTACCATGGTTTTAGAAATTAACTCTTATTATTAATACAGTTTTGAAAAACATTAAACCATTTTCAAGAATTATGTTGTGATGTAACGGAAGTTACAAAAGTTTTTTTTGTGATGTACATCTGAGTAAAGCAGATTATTGAGATTATTGTCTTAATTTAAAAAATGTCATGTGGTGCAACGAAGTAAAAATATTTTTTATATTTTGAATACATGTGAGTGTCAGGGTTATTATAGTTAACTAAAACTAAATACATATAAAAGTTTGTTACTTGAAATAAAACACACTTTAATTGAAATAAAAAAACTTCAGCTAGTTTCCAGGGCATAGCTAAAACTGAAATAAAAATTTAAAACTATATAGACATATTAAACAACAAAACTAATAAAAATGATGAAAAAATGTAAGCCAGTTTCTACCACAGGATTATATATATAT